GTCGCTTATCAAACTGATACCCTTTGACATTAAGTAGGGTAGCCAGGTCTACGGTATATAAATCTTGCTTGATAAATACCGATTCACCCTGTTGCCAACTACCATGAAAGTCTACCAAATTATGCTTGGTGTTTAATTGCCTAATTACATCAACCTCATTCCACGCACTGTTATTATTGCCTATAATTTAATGTATAATTATTTAATTATTTAAAAAGTTGATTAAAATTTTTACCCTGGTTTATATTAGTCTCCTTAATAGCATACTCATTTGATGGAGATTTAAGCCAGGTTCTAGCAAATGAGTCCTTTTCACGGACTTTCCATACAGTGGACCCCATTGACGCATGTCCAATTAGTTGGATTACATTATAATCAGTTAAATTAGCCATACTAATTTTAGTAAAAGTATTAAAAATATTATTTAAAAATAAATAAATTTAGGATAAAACAATAATATTATAATTTATAAATTGTATGAAATACTTTTTATTAAATACAACATTAATGTGATAATCTCCATAGTATCAGTGTCATAACTACACAAATATTTTTATTGATAACAACAATGTCAAGGATTATATTATTGCTATAATAAGTATGACTTTTATTATTCGGTGTACAAAATGTGTCTAATAATATTATAAACTCAAAACTTAACAAATAAAGATTTACACATGCTATTAGTTTTGAAACCAATTTTTACTTTAACATTGAACTTTATTTCAAAATAACTTTATAGTAAATTCACAGATAAACTCATAAATCAAATAATTCACAAATCATTTTTAAGTCAACTAATATCTATCAAAAAAATAATCGTTAAACATTTATATTAATACAAATAATGAATATTTAAATACTATTAAATTGAACGTTAAGTATACAATATTTAAATAGCTTAAATTAATAAATTTTTTATATAATTAAATATACCGGTAATTAGGAAACAAAAACATGAGAAGATAAAGCAAAATACAGTGAAAAATAAATAGTAATAAATAAATAACACATAGTATTACTTTAATTAAATTAATAATTTGAGCACTTATAATAATAACTAATTAAATAAATTATCACAAAATTAAATATACTTTTTATAATAACTATTATCAAACCGTAATCTAATTAATCGACTTTTGAGTAAATTTACACATTAATTGAAATTAATGTTAATCTTGACATTATTGATATAAATGGTCAAAATTTTATGCAAATCATATTTCACACAATCATAATAACTGCCCACACTTTGCGTACACATAATATGTCCACTCAATTCAATAGTCTTAATCTTGGTCAGATTTCGCAACGAATTCATCACACAATCAGTTATCATGATATCATAGACACTAATATATTGAAGATTTGGTAAATAATAGCCGATATTTACCGTAAACTCATCGCCAAAGGTATAGCCACTCCAGACATGTATCGTTAAATGTGTCAATGATTTCAATTGATTCAGCGATTCACTGGTAATTACACAGTCCCCATCAAAATAACCCCGGATATCCAATCGTTTCAAGCGTTTAAAGCATTTGTTAATACTCTGGATCAGTTGACAAGTGATATGTTTTATAGTGACGTCCACATGAAGTGATAGTCTTTTCATTTTGAGACAATGAGTGCCAATAAGTCTCAATCCAATGACCATCGCATGAGTCCATCGGATAATAAAGTTTGAAACTTTCAAATCAATTAATGCATGCATTTGTGACAATCCGGTCATTAGTATAATAATAGACTTTTCATCGCAATTCTCATCGATTACTACATCAACTGATTTCAACTGATTTTTGTAATAATTAACAAATATATCGAAATTAATCACATCTTCTATACTATACTTAAACCGAAAAAATTTTAACTTCGGAAACAATTTCTCACTTTTATCATAGCTTAACACATACGTGACATTATGTCTAGTACCAAGCTTAGTGACATTTTTGCATAACTTTATATTATTATGGATATCCGTATTAATGGCATTTAAATCATTGATAGCTAACCATTGAATTGATTGAAAAGTTTTAGCAAACTTCGCGAAAAATCTATTAATTGTATCGACACTCACATCCACCCCTTGGGGATATAATTACCGAAAGTTAACTAACGTTATAAAATAGTAAAATAATTTGTGTAGTAGCCAATTATGTTTTAGTTAACATGGCCTGTGAAGTTGTGATCATTATAATAACTTAAATGAATTCATAATGTCCAACGATTTGCTATTTGTATCCAATGCCATAGTGTTTGCATGAATTGATAGCACGGATTGTGTGGTGAATACCAATCTCTGCCACTGTTTGGACAGACATTCAAATCTGAATCTGTCCTCAAATGATAGGAAATTCAATAAATATTGACACAAATCGTCACCAAATCTATCGAAAGAGTCTTTCGCATAGAGTTTGCTGTAGACTTCAGCCATGATTTGTCACACAATTAATGTTAAATTAAACTAATTTACAGTTAAGTTATAATTATATTAAATTAAATTTTTGCAAATCATATCATGCTTTCATGAAATCATGTGAAATGTATGGCACACACAAAGACACTCAACACTAATGTTAGGAAAATACTGAGTGAATAATTTTTAAGTTTTCAATTTCAAGTACTTTAGTAGCATAAAGTCATTGTATTTATAACCAAGTTTATTTTGAGCAAATAGCCAGGGTCTAGATTGGACCACACACTCAGCATGTGCTTAAATGTCTGACTATAATAACAGTTTAAATCAGATTACTGTATATAATTATTGAAACAATTTTAGTTTGCACAACTAATTATTTAGATTTTTAATACAGTAATACATAATTTTTCTAAACTGTAAATAAAGTTATACTTGATCATGGTTATTACGGGAAAATTATCTTAATAATAAATTGAGACAAATCTACGAAAACTCGTAATATAAATCAAAACAAATATATACATACAATTTGTTTATAATTTTAAACTAGGTTATCATATTTTACGGAATACTCCTTGATATATTATCACACGTATTTTTATAGCATTTCGTATAATAAAATACTTTTATAATTTTATATTCGGTTAAATATTTGGCGCCATATATATTTTTAAAAATACCTTTTGGTATATTATTATGCCTATTATTATATCAATTAGGTAACTAGAATAATCTTATATTTTTATACATGGTTAAAAATTTTAAATCACAAGTACACATACAAGCTACGAAATACAACTTGGTAAATTATCATGCTTATTATTACAGTAATTTATTAAATGCAATATGCTAATAAATGTTAATTTGGTTTTATAGTTAGCGTCATATTTACCGAAATACCCCTGGACCTATTATAATTACTATTAATATAGCCATTAGATAAATATAATATGTGTTAATTATAAGCATGGTTAAATAGTTGAAGTCATATTTTACGAAATACTCCTTGGCATATTATCATAATGATTATTATGTCATATACATGATTATATAATCTAATTTTAACAATTGTAAACTAATTTATAATTTTCATAAAAATTTTAATTTCAAATAATTGCGCAAAACTTTCAAAACAGTTTAAAATTATTTTTATGTTCAACATTAAGTTTTATACAACTATCATGATTTTTACTACATTGTTTCAACTTGGTCAACAAAATAATTCATTAAACAATTTGCTACTAAATATGATATAAAATAATTCATTAAACTTGGTAATGGTTTAAATATTATACATTTAGTTTTTTGTAACAAACAATTATTAAAAAGTTTTCATTTTCAAATAAAACAATTAAAATAAATAGTAATTAATGTTAATTACTAACAAAAATATACACTAAAACATTATACATACGGATAGTAACCAATGGCACTGGTCCTAGGAAATAATTTTGCCATTAAGCTCACAAGCACTCACTTATTCTATGTAGAGGTTCTACATCCAGGCACTAAACAAACAATACTGATAACACTTTATACGTACCGGGTGATCAGATAGTAATGGGATTATAATTAATTTATGTTAAAAAATATTTAAAATGATATATCCTAAAAATAATTTTAGTTTAAATCTAATATATTTAAGTGAACATAAGGTTAAATATATCAAAAATTTAGTAAATTAAGTCAACAATTTAGCTAATATAGTTAATTATTGTTTAATTTAGTTCATGATTTAGTTAAATAACTCCACAATTTAGCTAATATAATTAACCAATTGCTTAATATATCTAACAATTTAGTAAATTAAGCCAAAATTTTGTTAATTTAGTTCATAATTTAGTTAAATTACTCTGCATTTTAGCTAATTTAGTTAACCATTGCTTTTCAATTGTTCAATTCAGTTAGTCTATTTCATAATTTAGTTTACCAATTCAGTTAACAATTTTGTTAATTTATTTCTCAACTTAATAACTCATTAGATATTTTTATTTAAATTGTTTGGAAATTAAATTATTTGGAAAAAATTATTCAGTTATTTTTTGACACCTTATACATTATAATTTTTATCAGTATTGCATACATTTATAATAGATGTGTTCTCGCGGGTAATGCGGGTTTGTAGGTCCCTATAAGTAAGGAGTTTGATAGTAACTAAAAAACAAAAAAAACAAAAAAAATACACACAAAAAAGTGAATACCCCTGGCGGGACTCGAACCCGCAATCCCCGGTTTAGGAGACCGATGCCTTATCCATTAGGCCACAGGGGCTGTCAGTTTGAATGCTCGCTTAGAATCTGTTGCATTCATACAACACACTCACTACTACAGCAAAACTCCCATTGAATAGCATGGGATCCAAACCACACATACATTAACTCTCACACACACGCGGAAACTCCACACACAATGAATAGCGAGAGTGTATACGTAGCGCGACAGCCAATCGTAGCGCTCGTTCTAAGCGCCAATCAGCGCACAGCACTACGTATTGCCCCAAAACGCTACCAATACTATGGCTTACGTAGACTACGCCCTACTCTCCATGACTGACAGGCACTACACATACACCGCATTGCATGCAATGTAAAACTCGTAGACAATGCGCTGCCATTACCTCCACCGCTAGCCCTCCCACTGAACCCATACTAATACACAGCAATACACCACTCACTCACTCACAGACTACAGTACACTAGTGTAGGGGCTGTTGCCGCACACACGCGCCCACCCACTACACTGACCGCCATTTTTCTCGTGTCATTCACTTCACAGTCAACACACAAACAGTCGGATTGTTTTGAAACACCAAAAGCACATCACATTCACCACAAGACTATCACAAACAGCTGATCCCATGGCGCGTACCAAACAGACCGCTCGCAAGTCGACGGGAGGCAAAGCCCCCCGCAAACAGTTGGCCACCAAAGCCGCGCGCAAGTCGGCGCCGTCGACGGGAGGCGTGAAGAAGCCTCATCGCTACAGACCGGGAACGGTAGCCCTCCGGGAGATACGTCGGTACCAGAAGTCGACGGAACTGCTCATCCGAAAGCTGCCGTTCCAGCGGTTGGTCCGCGAGATCGCGCAGGACTTCAAGACCGACCTCCGCTTCCAGTCGGCCGCCATCGGAGCCCTACAGGTGTGACCCATTGTTTCCGATGACAGACTACCTGTGCTCTCGTGTCTACTTACCACTCATTGTCTCACTCTCTCCCGCGTGTACTCTCTCGTAGTCTCTCTCTCTCTCTCTCTAACCCTCTCTCCCGAGAGATAGTGTAGTGTTTTATGTGTATAATGTGTGCACTGTTTGTGACCTTTGTTTGGCCTATTATGACATCCCGTTCCCCTCATTCATGCCTTTCCCCTCCTACCCGTGTATATACTGTACTGTATAGTGTAGGCTACCTGTCCCCCACCTCCATGTGCTATAATGAGTGTTCACTATATGGACAACACGTTTGCCTAACGTTTAAATTAATTATTAGATTATTTTTTTTGTTTAATAAATCATATGACATACCGTTCCCCTCCCATCCCCTCACTCCTTACATACTGTTATGTTAGGCTATGAGTCACATGTATGCCTTATATCGGGTGTACACTACTGTCCACAACGTTTGGCATACGTTTAGTGACTGTAATTAGTGTCCGATTAATCCCTTTCCTGTCATAATCCTTACTGTACTCCTCTTCCCTACGCCCCCTCCCACTCCATACCTGCTGTACCGTATAATACAGTCCACACTCCCTGGCCGTACACTATTAGTGGCCATACAGTGTGTGCATAATTATTGCCATAATTGGTGGCAATGTTTTCCTCGTAAAAATGATGACATAACTGTCCCTTTGTTTTATCTCCCGTTCCCATAGCACTACTGATCCCTTTCCCTCCACTATTATGCAAGTGTTGCACAACTCCACACACGTTTATCTCTCTCTCTCTCTCTCTCTCTCTCACTCACTCACACACTCACTCATAAACACTGTATATATATAGCTATAACTCTAACTATCAATCAATTCAATTGACATTTAATAGACAAGTTTATTTTACTTTCAATGACACTAATGCCTACTTTGTTTGCCTACCGTTCCCCTGATGGGGTGCGTATAGGAGGCGTCGGAGGCCTACTTAGTGGGACTCTTCGAGGACACCAATCTGTGCGCCATTCACGCCAAGCGCGTCACTATTATGCCGAAAGACATCCAATTGGCGCGTCGTATCCGCGGTGAGAGGGCTTAACCGGACGGCACCGGTAGATCGACAGGTCATCCGTTTTCGCAGTGTATACCACAACAACAACAACCCATACACCACTACCAGTCGTCGCCAAAACACACCTGTATTTTGTCGTCACATCTCTCTTAATATTAATTATTATTATATATCAATCAAAACATACATTTCTTGGACACACACACAGACGGACATACACTACACACACGCATACATACCCTTTATCTCTATATTACAAACATTTAATACCCTTTACTTTATTAAACAGAAATTTAAAACTACTTTTTAATTAATTATTATTATTAATACACTGAATATATACATACATTTGAGACGTAAGAAAATCTAAATAATAACGCGATTGTAATGTCTATTATATATACATACCATTAATATTATTATATTATATACATAAATGTGTATTCAATACATGATTTCTTAACAATTAGTGTACTTTTTATTTTTATTTTACCTCTTATTTTCTCCCTGAGTATTGATATTAATTGTACGGAGTTTTTAATGATTAATGAAATTTGAATTGAATTATAATATTCACACAAATAGACTGCCATTTGACTGAATAATAATATTTGTTTTATTTTTGATTAGAGTCTGAGAATCAGTTTTCGGACAAAACTTTTTGAAAGTTTTGTTTTCGGGACTGATTTTTACGGTGTATTTGTTTTATTGTATTGTATTTTATGTTTTTAATTATTATTTAATGTGTATATCAATAGGTTTTTTGTTTTGAATATGTATTAATTGATTGTATGTTTGTGTTTATAGTTTTTTGAATACTTTCTCAGTCTCTCTCTCTCTCTCTCCGTCGACAACCAAAATGTTTATTAAATTAAATGTTTTTCTAACGATTTTAATGACAAAAATTTCATTTGATTTATGTTTCTCATCGTAACATATATTTCCAATAAGTAGTAAAAGATTGATAAAAAGTTTTTTGAAATGAAAATATAATACATAAGAAAAGGCATAAGTTTTTCAACAAAACAAATAATACATTGAATTAAATTCATTGCTTAAAAAATATTTGCTTGAATATTTATAGACAAAAACCCATTTTGAACACAAAATAAATGCCTGTTTTTTATAATAATTTTTTTCAAATCATAATATTTAAAAATAAACAACAAATTGATTTAAATACGAGATATATTAACTTGATGATATATATAAGTAGTTATTATAAATGTTTGAAATTATTATTATAATATAAAAATCACGAAAAACTTTTTAGTAAAACATTTTCAAACAAAAACTTTTATTGATTTGTGAACAAAAAACATACAATAAATTAATACTTCATTAGAAAATAGTGTTTTCATAACGTTTTTGAATTAATTTAAGCTAGTTTATACCTAGTACATATATCAATAAATACACTATAAATTAATACATATGTCAATCATATACATGTATGTATTAATCAGTATTACCGTACCATGATAATTATTTTGTCATTTTAATTAATTGTACCTTGATTATATGAATTTCATTATATATTTTTGCGGGTGTTTTGTGTTGTTTACTCCGGTTTTGGACAAAAAAAGCAATTTTTTGAAAAACATTTACCCATTGATTATAAATTTAATTTTATTTTTTGATTATTTGATTATAACATTAAAATTCAAAATTGTTTTCAACAAATAAATGATTTTTTCCATAAAATATAATGTGATTTTAATTTTAAATCATCAGGGACGTGTTTATGATATTTAATAGTTTAGTACTGTATAAGACTTATACCATAAGTTATGTAATACAGTATAAGTTATACAGTATGATTGTGGTTGCTTTTATAATAATCCTAAAAGGGTCCAAATGTGAGTATAGATAACGTATGATAAATATAACCTTTTGAGACATCGCGAGATATAATTATAAAACATTTATAATAAGCATTGAATATTACTTTCAGAGTACAGTATTGTTATTAGATATGAAAATTTAAATAATTTACTCCTTTACCACAAATTATTTTTAAAAATTAGCAAAATAAATGTACAAGTATCATTTCAAAAACATTGGGCGGCAGCTATCAATTGAATCAAATGAATATTTTTAAAAAACAAGTTTTTGTATACACGTAAAAATTATTATAAATTACAGCTAAGAAACCAAGTATATTTTATGCATTAATCTATTCAATTAGTATGAATTATTATTTGCATGCTTAATTAGCATTTGTCAGTAAACCACAAGTTAGAAATTTGTATAATATATTATATTCTTTAGTTTATTCATGAATAGTATTAAGAATATTCTGTATGACATGATTTATATATCATTATAAATTTCTACAAATTACAAAATGTAGGTAACAAATGAGATTGTATTTGAAGCTATGATTATTACGTGAAAGTTACTGTTAAGTCCGTGTTATTAGGTAAGATTATTTTACAAAAGTTGCTCGTTTCAATTTTTTTAAACATAAATAACTTTAATATAACACAGTTTGTGTCAAGTTAAATATTTTATTATCTAATAACTAATTTGTGTGTTTCTTATCAAAGTAAAAACAACTTTAAAAATCGACATATCATAAAATAATAATTAAAAATATTAACTATGAATTCACGTCAAAATTCACTCAACATATTGAACATAAACGCTATAATACCCACCCGTATGTCCATTCAAACAGCTGGCGCTCATCTATTCACCCGCGGATTATCACCACATAATCCACACCCAAATACAGCCCCCAAACGCCCCCTAATTTACAACCCATACCTCATACTATTTGTACTCATCATAAATGCTACTAGGTGTTTAGTAGCTCTGTTTATACCTGGATCATCTGAACAATTATTTATCTATTTAGCGGATTATTCACATTATCTCAACGCGCAAACACATATGAATTTTGGAGTTTTGCAGTATTATTTACTAGCTATTACGTCCCAGATACTTTACATATCACTCTATTACCGGGATATTTATCCCACATTTATGCAACCTTTCCACATGTTAGCAGGGCGTGTGGCACCGGTAGGTGTAGGGCTCACAAATCGGGCTGACATAGCAAGCATGTTTAAAATTTATAAAATATGTCACGTTATATGCGAGTGGAACCCGCGATTTTTGTACCTAATCACCTGGATGGTATTGATTTTAACATTCTGTTGGCGTATGAGTGTTCATAATCTTATAATTTATGCCTTACCTTGGTCATTATTGTATAGCCTGAGCACTTTCTATGCCCTAACCCACTTGCACTGGAATATCGCTTATTACTATATTCTGTGTTATTATTTAAAAGTGAAAATTCGTGAACAAAACTCCAGAATCGTGTCATTCATAACACATTCCGTACGGAATTCCCGGCGACTATTACCGCAGAATTCTGTGGACTCTGTGCTCAAGAATTTGACAGAAATTCATAACGAAATCTCTGAGTATAACAGAATATTCTGGTCTAAATATTCTGTCATATTTCTAGTGTTTTTCACTATTTTTATGAATACTATGCTATCGTTGGCTATATTTGGCTCCAACCACT